ATCTCTATACTCACTTTCAATCCTTTCAATCGCCATAATACCTTCTTATTGAGCCCGACTTTTGCCTTTATCAGCGGAGTGATAAGGCGCCGAAATCCACTTCCGGTTAGCAAAAACCAAGACTTATCGATGTGGAAAGGGGTGCGATAAGAGCGTGCTAGATATGATACCGTTATCGTTATCGTCCCGTTTTCATTCTGGAGTGCACCTCTTATCAAGCAGCCGCACCTTCTTATCTCATCGTATCATATCTTCCATGGGCTTACACTCGTCCAACAATTACTGCCTCACACCTTATCGGTTGATAACGCGAGGGTAGCAAATCCAGCGTGGAAGCCAGCGTGATCGCTTCCTTTAAGCCGCCTCAATAATAATTTTTGCATCCATTCACATGTCAAATGAAGATTTACACCTGCGAAAACATTTCACCTCCCAGCTTATTATTGGCCGTTTGACCTACTCACCTGAGTGTTTCTGTCTGCTCTTTCAATTGTGCTTTCCTCATCTCGAATTCCTCTGCTTCATGCCGCCTCATCATCGCTGACCACTCGTCTGTCTGCACATTGACAAGAGAGCGAACCTGAAAGAGCTATCGAATGTGCTGTCAAATTTCGAAGCTTATTCCTCGATGATGTGATGGAGCAGCAGGGTTCAGAAATGAGACTCCGGGTGCGATATGGCTCACCAGCAAAAATTCTTAAGAGCCCCAAGTGAGGGCCTTCTGGAGATAATTTTTCACGCCAACAACTGTGGAGCACTTAACGCTGAAATTGAACAAATTTCTAAGACCAGGGAAAGGTGGTGCAGACTCCGCCCAAACCAACCACCCCTTCTGGGTTAAGTCCACAAGGGACACACCAGTTGCTCGGCAGCACTTGGGGACTAATAGCGTCACTTCGACGCCACCTACCGCCCAGTGTGAATGACGTCGTCGTCGTATGGTTTATTTCGGATAAATGACCCCCTCCTCTCCGAACCTCCTATAGCTGACAGCGCGAACGCGTCGATAGGGGCCGTTGAAGCTATTCATACCTGGCACACAAAAAATTGCAAACTCCCCAAAGTACAATTAGGGAAGAGAGAAATCCTTCCATTTCAAATATCCTCATCACAAGCCTCACGCAAATACGGCGCCTCGCCCAAGCTTAGCCTTTCCTCTGCCCGATCACAAAGGGTACCCCCCCCTCCAAAAGACCCGTCGCGCGGCAAGAAGGCAGAGTCGTCGGACGAGTTGCAGCGCGTGATATGCGATGTAGGACGTGCAATGAGGACGCTCTTTTAC